CCATATTGTATGCTTTCTCAGATCTCAAATTTCACTCGCAAAGAGCCATTCGCTCCTGCTCTTCTCGTGTAAGTCTACCAGATGCCACCGACCACTGACTGACTAACTCCTCCACCCACCCTCTTCCCTAAACCTAACCAATAGTGTTTCAAAAGCACAGATTGTCAAGCGCCCACTGCCTTTTTCTAAATCCAACCGACAGTGTTTTCATAAGCAATCCAGAAAAATAAAATCCCTTGCGGCAGCCTGATTTTTTTTTACCATGTTTTCAGATCTTATCATGTTCTCACCCTGTTATTTATTTGATTATTTATTTATTTTTTACCTTTTGTTTTACCTGCTTTCTGGAATCATTCTTAGCCAGAGTTGAACCCTGTCATCACGGTCAACTCTTCTTTGTGTCTCAAGTCCGCTGTCGTTTGTGGCGAACCACTGGGCAAACTGGTAACAGCTAAAAAGCTGTCCACATGGAGTTAAGTTGTCAGCTAGTTTCACGATCAGAGACAGAAGTCATTGGTGGCATCATAATGCTCTGTAACGTTTTGTTTTTAAGACAAAATGCAGCCATATGTACCTCTGGCTACATAATCTACGCTCTCCAGAAATGTATACGGGGGTAAGTTTACATAATGAGTCCGTGTTGCAAATATTGGTTGTCTTGACTTTTTATAAAATTTTTTTTTTACAGTAATGATAGAAATGTATTAGTGGAGTGGGTGAACAATTAAGGGCTTTCTTTTGTGTGTGTTTATTTTAAATCTTTGATTTATTTTGCTGTTTAATAATTATTTTAAATTAAGGTGAAAATAATGTGGTCTAACGGCTAAAACAAAGGCATATATTTATAATCTTGTCCCTGTCTTAAAGCAGACTTCATGTTAGCAGTCATATGAAGCAATTTGCTTTGGACAAAAGCGACTGATAAGTGACTTCATGTAAAGTAAATTAAATTTAAGCAGCAAAGCAAACTATATGACTAATTCTATCATTATACACACAAAAGCTTTGTAAAAAAAAAAAAAAAAAAAAAAAAAAAACAATAGCATGCATTGTTCTCCTCAACAAGTCTCATGATTTGAGGTGTCACTCAAGCCTATAGTTCAAACTTTATAGGGTAATAGTGTTATTTAAAGTACGAGCAAAACTGCATTAAAGAAAAATCATTCAGCTGACATGGCGTTACATTACAGCAAGCTGACAAGTAATTTTCCATGCTGGATTTACATTGTTGGCTACATAATCTGAAACGCACTGAATGTAAGTAAATAAAGTTGACAGATTTAAGCGCTACCGTGTCAGTCAAGAAACCCCTGGACTTTAGGGGGGAAAAAAATGTGCTGTAGTTTGAAAGTAATACTGTATTTAAACACCCCGCTGAATATCTGCTGTGACAGCCGGTGAGATTACGAGGAAGCCATTGATAAACATTGTCGTTTCAGATTTACTGGTTTGAAAGCTGTCTCATATCTGCGTCTTCATTATGATTTACATACCAGAGGGAGCAATCCCACTGAGGCAAAGAGCAAAGACGACAGCGTTGCCTTTTAATTAAACCTTGTCTAATTCCAACCACGTCAGCGTGGAGAATTCCCTCCGAATCCGATTCAGGAGAGCAGACTGATTTGAAAAACGCTCCTGTCACAATAAAGAACGCTGAGCTCACCTCCCAAACAATCACGAGTTCGCCTCTGCTGCCTCCGCCTCCGCTAACGTTAGCTGGAGCCACTTCAGGATCTGAACAGAGAACAGAAGAAACGGCCTTTATATCTGCGGGACTACAGGCAAATCCCAAATCTTCCTATTTCCTAAAGCAGCAGCTCAATGGTCTTTTCAAAACCTTTCAAAGGAATCTGAATGAGCTGGAATGCACTGTAACAAGCAGTGATGGAAGGAGTACTGAAAATTCAGACTCAAGTAAAAGTACCATTGCTTGCCATGTACTAGTACAGTAAAAGCGTCTGTCTAGTCAAAGTAGGAGTAAATAGTCTAAAAGTGCTAGAGTGGTGATTATTATACTGTGATAATTATTCACAAATTAAAAATGTGCTTCAATCCGTGTCATATTCTTTTAAGGGTGCTTTCAAGTGTGAGTTAAATTATTTGCCATTCGTGGAATATAATTGTGAGATTCATTTAATTAATGTGAGAACCCATTACATTAATGTATGCACATATAATAAGCTCACAAAAAGCAGGTGTGTGCATTTACTTGTGGATTGAGATTTGTGTAACGTAAAGCCTGCAAATTACATATTTCCACTGCATACGACAAACGTCAATCGACAGACCGAAAGTCATTTATTTCCAATGGGGAGCAGTCTGGGAGCTGCGTGCTGAGTTCCGATCAAATCCGTATGTGGAAAATGTGGATCCGACAGAGCCGCGAATACGTTGAAATATTTGAACTCCTGCAACTAGATTGTATGCAACTGGCTAACCGGATGTGATGTATTCCAGTGTTGTTCAAGCAGGTCTGTGCGCGTAAGATGAGAAATACAGTATAGTTATTTTGTTATTTTTTGAATAAAATAAAAAAAAAAACATTTATATTCATAAACGAGTAATAAAAAATATTTATTCCCTCCAAAATCTTTCAGTCTACGAGTTTCTAGTATTCATTCATTTATTCAACCATGGTGAACAAACTATGGCTCTTTCTGCACTTCTTTCAGCTTCTTTCCCATGGTGCACGACAACACTGAAAATTCTGTGCCACAAGGGGGCGTATTCAGACAGTCGTGTCCAAATGTCGTGTGCAGTGGAAAGGCGGCTTAAGGGGCAAACATCTAGCTGTGATGATATGTTAATGCTTATTATGCACTTTGAACTCTTGAAGCTACGAGTGTCCAGCAGTTGGCACTGTTTTTCCAGCACTAATAGAATCCATGCATGTGATTTGTGCATGTGTTTGAAAACGTAACATTCTATAGTACATACGTCTCAAACTCAATTCCTGGAGAGCCGCAGCTTTGCACAGTTTTGCTCCAACCCTAATTAAACACACCTGATCAACTAATCAAGGTGGTCAAGATTACTCTTAAACCCCTTGATTCGTTGGATTAGCTTTGTTAGGCTAGGGTTGGAGCAAATCTGTGCACAGCTGAGGCCCTCCAGGAATTGAGTTTGACACCTATGCTGTAGTGCATTTGGATATTGTTTAAGTTCATTTGATGGTTTCAGTCATGCCGTAGGCACCATTCATTTTCTCTCAACAATTTTGCATCTTCTTGAACAATTTTAATGGTTTCACACTGTTTGCTGCGTTTATAAAGTCTCAGTGCCTTGAGGTCAGTCTGATGCTATTTTGTTTATGCACAAATATATTGTATGGGAGTCACAGGACTGATTTTTCTACTAGGCAATAACAGTAGACAAACAATTTAGCCTACCCAATTCTCCTGTACTGCATGTCTTTGGACTGTGGGGGAAACCCACGGGAACGAGGAGAGAACATGCAAACTCCAGACAGAAATCTCAACTGACCCAGCCGAGGCTCAAACCAGCGACCTTCTTGGTCCTTCCACAGCACTACCTACTGCGCCACTGCGTCATCTCATTATTAGTTCATATTCATAATTACTCTAACTAGCATTAACTAATGCAATTTCATAGGAAAATGAGACCAAAACAATTACAGTAGACAATTTACTTGCATGTGTTATGTCTTCTTTATTTTAAAACAAATGTGGAAACCAAAATGGGACTTCTATATACTGTATTTATATATATATAGAAGTGTAGATAGCATGATAAATTAAGAGTCATTTACTCAGTTTTATTTGTTTCACTAAGTGCAAATAATTGTGTTCTATTAAAACACGTTAACACATCCTGGGAGAAAATGTAATAGAAAAAGTAATGCCAACTCCCCAGCCAAGGGGAAAACTAATAACCATAATTATAACTATTAACACTAAATAGCTATTTACACCATAATCCCAGAATGCAATATGGCTACTTTTACTAATTATGACCAAAAATAATAACTGTAGATTTTACAGTATTTCACTTTAAGATACTGCATGTAAATATTATAAAAATCCTAGCAAATGCAGATGGGATCTGAAGGAAGCAGCTGTTTGATGTCATTTTCACTGGGGATTCTGTGTTGAAGCCTGCATCTATTAGTGAATTAGTGATCGAAGCCGTTGCACACGGTATTCAAGCTTAAAATAGACCCTTTTAAGTGTTACAGCCTCATAGAATGCGGCAGAGGTCCACTCAATTTTGTTTATGCCGACGTGAATTATTGATAGCTGCATTTCCTGATCGCTGATGTCCAGCAGCTCACTGCAGCAGTGTCAGCTCTTGCTTTTCAAAAAAAACACAGCATTTTAAGTAGCCAAAAACTTCCATGCAACCACATTTTCAAAGTAATTAACTAAAAAAAAAAAGAATGTCATCTCTTTCGCATTGCCAGTTCGATTTCTGCGCACTTAATTTGTGTCCTAATTGTCTGTAAATGATTTGCAATTTGGATGTTCCCAGGAAATCCGGTGTGAATGCGCGAGTGTTTATTTCTCATGCCTGAACTCTATTACCAGGAGTCACTCGCAGTGATTTAAACTAATTATAGAATTAAATTACATTTTCTCCTTCCTGATGTATTAGAGATGACAGATATGGAATGGAGAGGTACCTGCAGCTTTGGTGCGAACGGGTTTGGATGGCACGCTGGGCTCCCCAACCCCCACGCTGTTAATAGCCACGACTCTAAATTCATAATCTACCCACGGATTGAGATTCACCGCCGTCGCATGAATCATCTGTCCAGGCACAGAATCAGGAACTAGGATTAAAGAAATTTGGAATGGAAAAAAAAAACACATCATTGAGTAGCCTAGAATAATTATTTTGCAGACATATTTTGGTCTTGAACTTTTCTTTTTTTAATCTACCACAGTAAATCTGCATGAATCATATTTAAATGACTCACGCAAATCTCGAGAAAGACTTGACTATACCGGTTTTGACCGCCTGCCATCCAATAGAGAATGGAGTCCTGGCTTGCACGATGTAGAGGGTAATGGGACTGTGGTTGTTAGATCCATGGCCCCAAGAGAGCTGAGCCGTCCTGTCTGTGACGTCCCCCACCAACACGCCCACTGGAGCACCGGGGGGCCCTGAAAACACAGTTGACACAGAGACAAAAAGGACTCAAACTTGCTGCGTATCCTCATCAGAGAAGGGCACAGCAAGGTGACCAACTACTATGCAATGTGAGACAAGTCTGCCCACAAAAGGCGACATGTTTAATATTCAGAACCAGGGAGAGAGATCCTTCACTTGATGATGGAAACACAAAAGGTTCTGAAGAGCACGGAGCAGGGAATTAATGCATTGATTTCAGATACTCCTGTAATCATTACTTCAAGAGCCGAATAGCAGAATATAACAGAAACAGCGGGGCCTTTTTAATTTATATTTGATAAATGCTCAGAAAAAGTGTAGAATACTGAACAGGCTCCTCGGAGACGCACATACCTCTGACTATTAAATCTGCCGCTGCAGACACGCTGTCCACTGCTGTATGAACCATGCAGACGTACTTCCCAGAGTGCTTCAGCTGCACGTTTCTGATCATCAGATCCCCAGACGATCCCTATAAACAAGAGAAACATGACAGTCAATCCATCCATTTATACACATATCTGTCCATCAATCAAACTATCTATCTATCTATCTATCTATCTATCTATCTATCTATCTATCTATCTATCTATCTATCTATCTATCTATCTATCTATCTATCTATCTATCCATCCATCCATCCATCCATCCATCCATCCATCCATCCATCTGCCCGCCCGCCCGCCCGCCCGCCTATCCATCTATCTATTAGCTCATCTATCCTTCCGTCAGTCCATGCGTCTATCTACCATTCCTCTAGCAATCTATCTCTATTTCAATCTATTTCAATCTATCACTCATTCTTCTAACAGTCCATCAGTCCATCCATCCATTCATCCCTTTATTTATCACTCTCTCAGTTTAGCAATCCAACCATCAGCCTATCAACCTGTCCATCAATCAGCTGTCTATCATTCTATCTGTATTTACAGTTTTGCTCAGTCGCTTTGATGCATTTCTCAAAACACTATTTACATTTGCACAACAGTTAATGCATTTCATTTGTGCGCATCCTAGTAGCAGTTTCTTATTCCTTCCAACAAATTGCAGATGCTTTTGGACATGCATCAATTGTTTTTATACAACTCTCTGCTATTTATAACATTATCATTTGCTAATGTCATGTCAGTCAAAATTAACTAAACTTGCGAATGCTGAATAGTCATCCCATATAAAACTAATAGTCCTTATTTCATTACTTGAGTCATTACATACAAAAATGATGAACTAGTTGTCAAAATCTGTCTAGCAAATTTTATAAAAAAATTTTAAATCTTTATTTTTCTGAAAATGTCTTCTAAATTAAACAATTTAATAAATGATTTACAGACCTGTTTGTGTTGTAGTTTCAGTTCCAATATCTTCTGCAATAGAGTTTACAGTTGTGCCAAGCTTTACCCAAAGGAAGTGTATGTTTGTTGTAAATAAGGGTGTATTTATTCTTTTGTGAATTTTGTGAATAAATTAGAATTGCAACAAGCAAATGTAGTAAAAATGTGAAACATACATATTCATTGTCTTGTACTCAGATACCTCACTAAATGCAGTGATGTCTAACTTTGTTGTAGTTTTCAGATGACTGTGCAAACAGTATGCATAGTGCTGTCTTGAGCTTTTTTAGGAAGTATCACCAAAATCTGACTTTTTTTAATTGAAAAAACTGTACAGAGTGAACTATCATACTGAAAACATGACAAAGCCATTTGACTATCTTGTTCATAAACAATGGTGTCGGGACTTATCATTTTTATTATACTGACACTTTGATTGACATGAAAACTTGCTTTTGAGGAATGAACTATCCATTTTGAGCATGTGACGCGCTTTTGCAGGTTATCAGCTAGGTTTTGCAGTTTGTACTAATTGTTTTGAGAAATGCATTACCTGTTGTGCCGAAATGCACTGGTGTTGTGAGAAACACACCACAGCGACTGAGAAAAACTGAATCATCCATCCATCTATCCATCCATCACTTTAAACATATCTCTGTCTGTCTACCCATCCAATCATCAGCCCATCAATCTGTCCATCAATCTGTCTGTCTGTCATTCTACCCATTATTCCATCCATCCATCCATCCATCCATCCATCCATCCATCCATCCATCCATCCATCCATCCATCCATCCATCCATCCATCCGTCAATCAACTGCCTATTCATCTCTATTTCAATCTGCCCATCCATCCAGGGATGTAGTGGACATTTTAAAAGTGGGGGGGCAGCTGTATGTCTCTAAAAGTGAGGGGGACGTATCCCCCCTCCATCCCCCGGTTGCTACGCCCCTTCATCCATCCATTTATCCATCCATCCATCCATCCATCATCCTTATGCATCTGTATTTTAATATGCCCATCACTCATCTGAATAACAGTACTTCCATCTATCAATCCATCCGTCCATTAATCACATTTCTATTTGTCTACCCATCAAACTATCAGCCCATCAATCTGTCCATCCAGGGGCAGACTAGCCATAGGGAGCACCAGCATTTCCCGGTGGCCAGACAGTGAATCTGGCCTGCCACCATGACTCTGACCAGCCGTGCACCGATTGCCCCAAGTACTCAAGTATACATATACTACCATACTACCCATCCAACCATTAGCACATCACTCCGTCCATTAATCAGTCTGTTTATAATTTCACCACTACTTCAATCCATCCACTACAATACAATTTCTAAGAGACCACCATGCTATTGTGTCAAATAATCAAAAATTTTAATAAACAACCACGGAATGTTGCCTTCCAGGTCAATATATTGTTCCCATATACTCGTATAACTGCGATAATTAAAAATGTAATATAAGGTTGAAATCAAAATTTTTTAACCCCCCTTTGTCTTTTTTAAGTATTTCCCAAATGATGTTTAACAGAGCAAGGAAATTTTCAGAATACATCTGAATTTTTTTTCTTTCAAATAAAGTTTTATTTGTTTTATTTTGACTAGAATGAAATCATTTTTTAATATTAAAAAAAAAAACATTTTAAGGTCAAATATATTAGCCTCTTTAACCTATTTTTTTTCCAAACCATCCTTATACAATAACTTGCCTAAATACCCTAACCTGCTTAGTTCTTTCTAAGTTAGTTAAGTCTTTAAATGTTGCTTTAAGCTGTAAAGAAGTTTCTTGAAAAATATCTAGTCAAATATTGTTTACGGTCATTATGGCAAAGATAAAATAAATCAGTTATTAGAAATGAGTTATTAAACTATTATGTTTAGAAATGTGTTAAACAAACCTCTCTGTTAAACAGAAATTGGGGAAAAAAATCAACAGGGGGCTAATAATTCAGGGCGTTTAATTATTCTGACTTCAACTGTATGAACATACTGTAGTATTATATACAAAGTCTCACAGTAGCTATGTATTTTCATCTATTCCTGTAAATGGTCTTTGAAACAGTATGGGGCATTTTGTTTACTTCATATACTGGGGAATATATATGTTGTTAGTTAATTCAAATGAATTGTGGTATTAGCAGCATTGTATATATTATGGCAATTCTCCAAGTTATGATCATTCAAATACATTATTATTCAAAAGAATAAACAATTGTGATGAACAAGGTTTAAAGCAATCCTTTAGAAATCAAACAATGTCAAATAATTTCTCAGAAATCATTTTCAAGTATATCATTATAATCCTTTTAAATTCTAATAGATTTGTTGCTTCATATTTTTATAATGAACATAAACCATTTCAATGCTTCAGCATTTCTCAGAACTTTATTCATATAATAACTGTCCATTTCTTTCTTTCTCAATAAATAAAAGCATTTCTTTCTTGCTAAATATATATTTAATACCATGGCACTTTTGTAAAGGAAACTTAAAAGTCTCAGAAATTAAACATATTTTGATTTCTGAAACATTAAAAAAAAACATCAGGGAACAACTGGTGGCCACTAGTCACAAAAGGTCACTCTGCTCTTACATTTGATTAGCACTTCAGTTCATATAAGGTTCCTTGAACTCGCTTAGACAAGCAATCCTTCTGCCGAGGCTGCCATTGGTGCATTGGCAACCTGAAAAGCTCTGTGGATGATATACACATTAAGAGAGCGGGTCCTGTGGATAGCTGTTTGAGGTTCACTGTGTGTTAAACAGACTGCCATGTAAATCCTGTAATCAGACAGATTTGTGCCTCTATGTTCACAGAGCAGCCAGGTGCCCTTGTACTCGAGTTCCCCCCATTGCTAGCTAGCTGAGCTCCAAAAAAATAGTTATAACACCAAGAAAATCTCAATCTTTCATCACTCGCATTCCTCAACCCCTGTGTGCCTGCAAAGAGGAATTCAAGGCTATAGTAATTCAGAAATACAGCTTTGAATTATAATGACTGACAGAAACGCACCCCTCCAATCATCCCTAAGTGATCGTGTCGACTGAAATCGATGAGCTTCCCGTTAAAGAACCACTTGAAGACGGGGTGTAGAGTGGAGTCTTTGGATACTTCACAAGGCAAGACAATGCTCTCCCCTACTGTGGCATCCATACTCAATGGAGGGACTGTAATCTTGGTCGGTTCTGTCCAAAAGGAAAAACATGTTTTGAGCGAGATAAAAGAGAAGAAAGAGCAGAAGGTCTTTAGTAATGCATTGGTTTTGGAGAGTTTTAGTCACTTTTCAATACCATACAGTTCACATTCTGAGTACACATTTACTTGAAAGATACTTGAAGTAAAAAAAAACAAAAAACTTAATTTTCGCTTTAAACGTTGAGGTCTTTGAAGTGCACAGCTTACTAATGCACATTTTACAGAAGAATTTGCTCGAATTGGTAAACGTTACTATTTTGTTGTGCATAAGACTAAACAAAAATGGCTTGAGTATTTATACTGGATATGTTATTATGAGTTCACGCCA